AGTCCTTGAGAGCTACATCTTAGTCCCATGATCTAATGATCTAGCTTTCTGTTGGACAGACACAGAGTCATTTCTAATACTTCTCTTGCAAACAGTACCATAGACAAGACTTTGTATATGTATCATTTGCACATATGTGAATATTCATAGATACAGATATGTAAGAGTAAAACTACTAAATCAAAAAGTATAAACATTCTTTTGATAGCTAAATTGCAAGTTTCCTTCCATTACAGTGGCCTACAGTATTGTTAATTATCTGTGTCAGTCCTTTTAGCTATTTCTCATATCTGGATTTTGTCTTATCTAATCTGAACACTTTAATCTTTTAACATGAATTCAACCCATTTGCTTATGTCACTACCTTGTTTCAGCATCTCCCTGAAGCCTGGTTTTATCTTTTATTTATAATCATATTATTCTTTTGTTTAGATTTCTCCTTAAGAGACTTCTACCAGATCAATTGGTATGCAGTCCCCACCCGGTATTGTTTTAGAAGGTACACATTAATGCCTCCTAGTCCTTTAAGACTTCGTATTGGTTCCAGGGAAAGGGTTGATAGGCTTTCTGTAAAGACTTCTGAAGGATTCCCGTCATAACTGGGAACTCTCAGGCACAGACTTTTTAGTGAAGAACTAAATACTATGAATGGTTTTCATGGGGCACTAGCATACCAGGTCGGGTTCCACCAAAAACATGGCTTACAAAACTCCTTACAAATTGAAAACTGCAAGACAGATCTGTGGTAGATTCTAAGAGTGTCAGTCAAGGTTTCCCACATGCCCAGGATGTTTAACCCAGGTGAAAACCCGTTCCTTGTTCTAAATCCATGTGACCATTTCCTCCATACTTACAGCCACATTGACAGTATGGTAGTCAGAGTTTGTGGGTAGCCAGGTGTGGTTGGCTTCAGTAAACCCAGCGTTTGAACTATTGTCCCACTGCATTGGTGACTTGGAGAGAAGGGCATTCTATTTTGAAAGACCAGAAAGAAAGCAAGGATCGAGTTATTACAAGAAATTCATCTGGGCCCTTTCTAGCTACTTCTTGGCTGCCCCTTCAGTTCTGAGCTGATGTTAGCACTCCCTGCATTCATGATGAAAGAGCCTCAACATACACAGATAGGTCAGCATAGTGCTTCCAGTTCAAAAATAGCCAGTAATCTCTATGGTTGGAAATACACGTTTCCAAACTGAACTCTCATGTGTTTGGAATCTACTGCTTTTTTCAAATAAAGAGAAGATTTTAGAATATTCCACTAGCAATTTATGACAGGAGGATTGGTTTATCATTTATCATTTTATTTTATCCTGTGAATTTAGATTATTCCACTAGCAATTTATGACAGGAAGATGGGTTTATCATTTTCATGTATCCTGTGATAAACTGATGTCAGAGTAAAGAACACTGTCAGACTAAGCTGACCATGGCCTCTGCCTGCCCCTGTACCCACTCTGATCTTTGTGTATGAACACCCCACACAGTGAGCTGCCAGCAGGAAAAGTTTAAATTAGCCAAGTATTAAGGAAAGTGAACTGCATAAATTAAAAGGTCAGGATGTCATCTACCCAGCAACTCGATGTGAGAGCCACATCTCCAAACAAAAACACAGCCACACAACAGTACAGAACGAGGCGGTGCTGTAACTAACAGGTCAGAAACCAGAGCTGAGTCCATCCGTATTTCAGGGAGAGAACAATGAATAAGATACAAGGAAAGTCGCTGGTTCTCTCAGAACCTGCAAGGTCCTTGGTTCTGTCCAAGAAGCTCAGTTGTGTGGTTTAGAGGTGGCACTTCAGTGAGCTCCTTGACCACCAAGAAAGCAGATAACCCTTACTCTCAACAGTGGAAAACCATGGCCAGGACATTCAATGGGAATAGCCCTGCCAAGTTGGCAGTGCAGCGTTGGCCCACAGCTTCAAAGTGCATCGTACTTACAATGTCATAGCTCTCGTTGAAATCTGTAACGGAGATGTCTCCCATCCCTATTTCTTCTCCATAGTAAGTTATGGGTGTCCCTGGGAGTGTGAACAGAAGCATGTTCATGGCGTTGACATACTCGTTCCCTACTCGAGAAGTCAGCCGACGAGTCTCTGGTCCGCCAATCTGAAAGGCAAATAGTTTTAAGGGCACACCTCTACACATGATTCCATGAAAGAATTATACCCTGCTTGAAATGGCAAGTCCCCCAGGCTGAAGGTCACTGCAAAACAAATGCTGCTATCAGGAAGCCCAGAGGTGGGTCCTCAGCCCACCACCTGCTGTGTAACTGACCTTGTGCTAGCCTGGCTGCTGTGCTGGCTAGTATTATGTCAACATGACACAAGCTGATATCATCCGAGAGGAAGGAACCTCAATTGAGAAAATGTCCCCGTAAGATTGGGCTGCATGTGAGCCTATACGGCATTTTCTAATTGGTGGCTGATGTGTGGTGGCACAGCCCACTGCGCACCCACAGTGCCATTCCTGGACTGGTGGTCCTAAATTCTGTAAGGAAGCAGAGCTACAAAGTGCTTGTGCGCCCCTTTAATCACAAAACTTGGGAGGGAGGTGGATCTCTGTGAGTTTGAGGCCAGCCTGATCTACAGAGCAAGTTCTAAGACAGCCAGGACTCAAAGAGAAGAGAGAGGGAGGGAGGGAAGGAGGGAAGAAGGGAGGGAGGGAGAGAGAGAGAGAGAGAGAGAGAGAGAGAGAGAGAGAGAGAACGAACTAGGATAAAAGATGGGACATCTACTGTGTATTGTTCTTGTTGAAGCAAAGCGGTAGCCATTTGGTCCATGCCCGCCAGTTATTACATTGTTACTAACACAGAAAAATAACTTGACTCAGAGCTGGGTCAAGCTGACCACATACCCTGTTATGTCCCGAGGTTTGTTCTTCCTGGATATTCCACAACCATAAGCTCCACTAAGGACCCATCAGAATAAAGGCCAGCTAGAACTGTTCTGTCTAGCTAGCCGAAATAGCTTGAGCTGACCACTGCACCTGAACATGAGCTCATGGTAGGTTTTGCCTATAGAAACTGGCCCTAAGAAATAGTCATGGTCATAATCATTTCCCAAGTCTGGTCTGTCACCTTAATTGATCAATCTTGGGGTGTGCGTTCAATAAACTATGCTCGTTTGACTAAAACTATGCTCGCTTGACTGAGACTGGAATCTGAGTGGTTGGTGCGGCAATTCCCAGATTCAAAATTCAACAATTTTGACATTCTAACTATCCAAAACCAGTTTCTAGAGGCAAATTGGGAACCCAAGGAGAGAGCTCGGGCAGTAAAGTACTGGCTGCATTGTTGTGAGCCCTGAATTTGATCCCAGTATCCATACAAAATGGCAGCTTTGGCAGCACACCCTAGTAACCCCATCACTGGGGAGGTGAGGGAGATGGGCAGATCCCTGGGCACTGGCCAGACAACCCAGCCTAATTGGAGAGCCTCAGGGCCTAGAGAGAGATCTTCTCAAAAAATAAAGGTAGACAGGCCCTAAGGAGTAACAGCCAAGACTGACTCTGCTCCTTGTACATACATATGCACAAATACACACATACATACATGCATGTACGAACATGCACACACATACAGGAATGTGCACACACACCAAAACAAAACGTAAGTTAGTTCTTACAAAGAAATTTACAAAAACGGGCATGGTAAGTTGTGCTTGTAATCCCAAGGCATAAGAGCCAGCTAGGGAGGTCGCGAATTTATGATCAGTATAGGCTACATAACAAGTCTCAAAAAAAAAGTGCATAGTCGAAGCTGGAATTTTCTAATGTATTCTGTAACTATGTATGATTTCCACATGGTAAATGCTCCAGTTACATATCTGAACATGTGCAGCTTACAAAAGCACCTGATGACTCTTCTTCCTACAACCCTGCAGCTGGATCAGCCTCGGCAGACTGAGCACGGCACTTTGATGCTTAAAGAGCACGTTCTTATCCCCTCACACAACAGGGTGCCAACGGCTGTGTCCATTTCACAGATGAAGGAACGTGGAGAAGGGGCAGTATTCAAATTACAGTATGCTGGACACCCAGCCTTTAGATGAAAACATGATAACTACAATCCACAAAAGGAGGCATCTTCCTTTCCCTTAGACGTGCTAAGATTAAACCCCATAACTGGATCTTTGTGAATCATTATAAAGTGATTTTCTAGTTTTATGGCCAGAAAATTCAGTTATCTGTTGTCTTCTTCTCAGTGCTCTTAGCTATGGGGCAAACTGTGACACTAGAGACTGTCAAAATACTTTCTGTCACTGCTAAAACAACATCCTAAAAGCTGTGACATCAGGGGTACAGACAACTGCCAGAATAAGGATCTGAAAACAGCTCTAAAGGCTGGGGTCCTTGGGTTGGTGGTGGAGCGCATGCCCAGTGTACATGAGGACCTGGTTTCAAACTCCAGCACCACCAACAAAATGACTCAATTTATTTTTTAAAAATATCTCCCAAATAAGGAAAATGTCAGCAAAAACTAAAAATCCACA